CTATGACACAAAGTTGGTCAAAAATATCTTTCATCATTTTGGGGGTTTTAAGTCCTCTCTCCTTTAAAAGCTTTGTGCCATTGTTTCCCTCATATAACCATCCTGCCTCTGAACATCCATACACTGTCATGATCTTACAAATAATTAAATCGCCTCTCCTTCCTGATGTTTTTCTTTTTAGTGCTGATACAGCAGCCGCAGTTCTTTCACGATTTTTCCTTTGAGATGATGCTAAGCTACAGGATTCACCTTTGGGACAGATAGATCAGAAAAAGTTTAAGGATAAAATTTGCAAAAAAAAAAAAAGGACCAATTGATATCACCTCACAGCTTCAATTCCATCAATGTCCTATCAATAAAACTCCAGATATGCACCAGATACCACAACTCCAGATGATTTTGTTTTAAACTACATGTTTCATATTCACATATCCTATAAATAGAATAATTAGAGTCCAAAAAATATTTTATTAAATCCAAAAAGCAGCACTTACAGGTTATACACTGTGTGTCTAATCCAGTCATAATCAAAGTGTGTTTGTTGGTTGAAATGAAAATCCATTCCATAGGTTGTAGCACAGCTTCTCTAAGGCTTGATATATTGGACTATTTTTTTAAACAAGTGAGTATAGTCATTTTAAAGAAGATTAACATAAAAAGAGACATCTGATCTTATGAAAACTGTTGAGGTACATCAGCAAGTCTCTAGGCAATTAAATATTTCTTCTATTCCCTATTTTTCCTTTCTGTCCACTAATAGCTGGGTGTCTAGCCCTTTTGATTCTTTCTCCTAATTTGAGAAGTTATTTCAAAAAAATCATTCAGCCAACAATTATGTCAAGTTTTTTTATTTAGTTATTTTCAATTCACTAATATTTATATCAGGCTGAGAGAGCTTTTACAAGTGATGCAGACACCCAACCATTTGGTTTATTTTATCAGGTAAAATGTGAGAAATGTTTTATTTTTGCATGACAGAGTCCAAATAAAGTCTAGTCTAGTCCAATAAGTCCAGTCCAGTTGAAACTAATTGGACTGGTCTGGTCCAAATAGTCCAAAATCCAATAAAATAATAAATGGTGATGTGTTTTAATCCAAATGATATTAAAAACTATGCAAGATGGCAAATGTTCTATATATCTACACTCGGTAGACAAAAGTTTGCGTCCAAAATTTCTTTTGAATTTATTTCAAAATTATGCTAATTAAAATATTGTAATCTTTATATTATTCAAAAGCTCTTGTTCTTAATAATATGTTCGCGATATTAAATTATGAAGTTTTGTTACAAAAAATAAAAAATAAAAAATAATGTAAAAATCGTGAAAATGTTGATCATTTTTTGTTTTTGAAAAAAATGGGAAAGAACCGCGAATTGACTGTTTCTGAAAGATCACAATTATTGGCCTTTTAAAAGGTGGTCATACAAGAAAAGAAATTAGTGACATTCTTGGTTTTCCACTTTCAACTGTTA